GTACTGTGGTCACTGTGCATGGGGTTGTCTGACAGCACATACCTGCTGACCTCGATAGAGAGTGATTGATTGCACAAAGGTTTCCATGCTGGTGCATCTGCACTAAAACTGTCTTTGTATGCATTGCGCGATATGAATCAACCTTTCAATGGAATCAACCTTTCTATGGAATAGTGTATCCATTCAATTATCTCAAAAAAAAAAAAAAATTGAGTGTTTGTGATACAAGTCGCAGCCTCCCCCCACCCCCTAAATCCGCCCCTGGATATACTATAAATCTGCGATTAATATTATTAGATTATGATTCCACAATGTATTTTGGGAGACTAATATACGACAAAATTAAGATGACTTTAAGCGATCTGAAAATTTGCATTGATAAGAGATTAGACTACAGGCTGAGAACTCTATTATTGATTATGGTCCGTTTGACTAGACTCAACCCTCTCAGTGTTTAGTTTAGCATATGCTGGTATCTCTTTACGGTGTTAATGTTTGAGAGGGCATTAAGTGGTCGCCCCTAGCTAGGAGAGCTGTAGGCACCTACTAACAATCCAGTTAGACAGTACTCAACTACAGGCACTGGGACAAATACTATCCGTCTTTTCCAAGACAAATGGCAGACAATTGTCGTAGAATACCCGACCCTACTACTTAAAACAGCAACCTCGTCATTATCATAGAGGAGAACAATATAATGCAGTAATTAATATAAATTAGGTTGCTACCTGTTGATTAGAAAATTCACTAAATAAAGGAGATTACATATAACAATTGCGACCACTGAGTTTAACTGCGCACGCATTATTGTAGAAGTGACGCATATATACAGTGCTGAATGTAGTATTATTACTTAACAGATCAAAAGAATATTTCAATGGTTACAGGTATACGGTTTCTTTTTTGTTGCATAGAAAGAAATGGAACGCCAATGGCTGTTCTTTTTGAAAGCTACAAACTTACTATGCCTCACTGAAATACAGAACCACTATCATTAGGGGACAACTTCAGAGACTAGTGTCCCCTTAATAGGGGTGTCCCCTCAATTGGGGTAGGCCTACCCTGAGTTCATGGGACACAACCAAAACTTGAAATTGTCTCCTTAGGGTTTTTGGCGTGGTTTTGTGTATACCATGATGACATTATTCTTTATAATTTTATTTTAATTGTCTAAAAATGAGTTACAGTTGAATTATAACTAATTTATAACAATAATTTGCAATGCAAAAAATAATTAATTTATGATATGAAATCAACAGATTAAATTAAAACTACAAAAGTGGTATATGTTTCCGATATTGTTGATTCAAGTGAGATATGTTAACAACCAATATTCTGTTTTTTAAATATAGAGTAACAATTTAAAAAGGTGCAGGCTGTAGGGCGGTATAGATTACTGTATACAAATTAAGACTTTTTTTTTTTTTTTTAAGATATTTAGGTGGCGGCAGGATAATGAGCTTTCCTCAGCGATACAGTTTGGAGAGTTTGACACGACGAGCATTATCATGGTGGGTGGCAAAGATCTTTGCTACATTGGTGGCCCTTCATATATAGAGGGCGTGTGTGGGTGTTGCAATATAAACTCGAAAGCTGCGCTTCATACGTGTACGACGGTGGGTGTTAGCTCTAAATAAAATGATACTAATTTAAGAATCCCTTAAGTCAGCCGACTTGTTTTACAGGCCTAGTTATATAGGCCAGTAGGTGAGTGTTTGCGTTATATGTTCATATATATAAAATATAACAAGCAAGTTACCATATGCGATGCCTTGGCCTAGGTAGTCTACAGTACTAGTAGTAGTACTATAGGCCTAGGCCTGATCATCATATAACTAAACTAGGGCCTAGGCCCTAGCTAGGCCTAAGGCCCGGGTAAGGCCTAGGGCCTAGCCCATTCC